GAAGATTACCAGATATTTTATCAATGACCAATGCTTGCAAGTTTAACGAAAAAGACTGATCAAATCGTGAAAACAGCGTGACATTTGACGTTCCCTTTATAGACTGAGAACTTTCTCCAATACCATGCACTGACATATTTTTATTGTTAGGTGTAATTCTCAACCCCAACGTACATAAACAGCGTGACGTAACAAAATGATTCTGAGAACCTATATCAACCAGAACTGTTAAATCGCGGCGATTACCAAAGGCATCTAATACCTGTACAGTTGCAGTTCCTAACAATACTGTCATAAGCGAGGCTTGATTGCTCGTAGCAGTGCCCGAGAAACCTACAGCATTATTATTATTAGTGTGCGGAAGGCCTGGAGAAACAGCAGAGGGGCCATGTTGAACCGAAGACGGCGCGGAGTTGATATGTGGACGTACTGGCTGCGCGGCACGGACGGCCGCGGCTGAAGATGTGAGTTGTACAGCTGGGAGCGGTGCGGTTACTAACCTAACATGACAGTAATAACCCTGATTAGAGACATTTGGACGCTCAATCAAGCTGCGGCACAATTGGCTATTATGGGCCTTATTGCAATGTCTGCAAGTAGAGTTCGACTTACACGTCGATAAAGTATGACGCACACTTAAACAATTCACAACACAACCATTATACTTTTTAGTTATATTATATTTTTCTATTGGCGATAATTTCAAAAAGGGTTCGCATTGATACAAATTGGCATGGGTGTTACTTTTACAATAATTTCAAATAGGGTTATTACTGTTATTTACTAAAAACGTTTGCATATGCGTAAGATGCGTGCGAGGCGCGGGGGGCTGGGTTGCTTCATTGAGAATGGTTGCCTGCGTATGGATGCGACGTTGACGTGACTGTAGTAGTACGTTCTAATAGTTTTGTTTGATCGCGAATAAATGATACAAATTCGTCATATTTAGGAAATACATCGCTGCTGTTAAGAGACATTTCAAATGCTTTATAAGTATTTCATAAACCTTGCGTAATGCCAAGTGTACAAAAATGATTTTTTAATGTTCAACTGACGTAAAGCGGATACCGAAGTCGGAAACTGATCAATAAAGCTTTCTAAATTTGACGCGTTCGCCTTACCTGTGCCTAATGGATTTAAGTATTTTCTAAATAGGAAATTGCAATAGCGCGTTTATCTTCATACTTTTGTACTAACGTGTTATACAATACCCTGTAGTTGTCAAGGGTAAATGCCTACACAAATAGTTTGAGCTTTTCCTTTCAATTTGGAAATTAAATAATGAATGCTCTCGGCATCACTTAACGCGGGGTTATCGTGTACAATTGTGTGGAATGAGGCGATAGTTAAGGAAACTTTTGTATGTCCCCGTCAAAATCCGGAATGTCAATACGCGGTGAGTTGAAAGCGGGCGGAACTTTGAGATGCACTAGGTTTATCATTTGAGCCGCTGAATTTAGTAAATGCACTTTTAATAGTAAAGAACATGTCATCAAACGCCCATAAGATTTCAAAATTGGGTTCATACTTTGGACCCAATTCCAAATGACATGCGTGAATCGAATCATTAAGCTGAACAAATCCATCGCGCAAATGTTGAATGTTAGCAGCTTGTATTAAAAACATAGCAATTTTATCACGCTTCGTTTTCGGTATGGCATCATAAATGCTTTGAATGCGTGAAAGGTAACAATTAACATGTTTACTTGATAAAAGTGAGATGTTATTCTCCATTTATTAAAATGACACAATGTCAAAAAAAATGGAAACAAAAAATGAACACAACCAAAACAATTCAAATTCAAAATTGTGTTAACTTTGTGTCTATAGCGTAAAAAACACATGACGTGGCCGTAAGTGTAAGTGAGACGAAATAGAATTTGTCAACTACTACAAGCACTTTAACGTAGTAGTGTAATAATGACGTTTCCGTACGTACAAATTTTCAAAGCGGTATTATGAATTTTAATTTACAACATTCTAATTGAAAATGCGGGGAAATATTAAAATATTGCGGAGATGTGATAATTAGCGGTAGAACCGAGGTCTCAATGGCCTATAGGTTTGAAAAAGAGGAGTTAAAGGGAGTACAAACACAAATACGTTTTACGTATGGCGGATGAGAATTTTGAAATAAAACCGAAAATTTTAGGAAAACTTACACAACGTTCGGCTCGGAGGCCAAAAATTTATAGGGGCCAAAAATTTATATATTATATATATTATATTTAAAGTCCACTGGAAGAGGAAGTGGACTTTTTTCCTTCCATTCTGAAGAATTTACCCATAAAACCAACAAATGTAATTTTGGAAAAATATTGGTGACACTCAACCTTTAACTCCCATGCAGATGCGTACTGGCGGCGGTTAGAAGTTAATTCCTTGTTTGCGGCGAATGAATATTATAAATAATTACTGATAAGCGGTTTTACATTTTCAGCAGCGGTTTTGTAATTTCGTATCAATTTTTCGTCTCAATGACGTTTCTATTTTCTTCTTTTTGGCCATAGCCAAGCGCGCAAGAAGGTCGGTGAATGCCTCCCAATCTTTCACCAAAAAATACCTTTAATGGTTTCATGGGCTCTAACAATTGTAATAAAATATCTAATTTTGCACACAATATTTATATGAAGATATTTCTTCTTAAGTAGTACAGAGAACCTGTTAAATTTTAGTTTTCAACTAAAGCCCTATAGTTATTAAATTCACATTTATCCCAAAACTTGAAAATTACCCGGCGGTTTAACAACAACCGATGCCCCGTCGGACGCCATCGGATGCTTGTCAACGTCGGATATGTGTTAAATTTTCTGCGCCTGTTCTTATTTATTCGTATTATTGGTTATCTGCGCACGGATTGCGCACCTCACTTCCTAAAATCTGGCTTGCGTGTATTTAAATATCTCACCTCAACATATTTTTAGAGTAATTTTATACTCGTAGTTCAATTAAATGGTTTGCATGAACTTCTAGCTCGTTCATTATACCACTGGTCACGAGTTGAAGCTGTAGTAATGTTAATTATTATGCATCTAACAGAATGTAAATCAGTACAGACGATAAAAATGCAATGCGTAACATAACAGAGACCGATACAGACTTTAAAATATATATTGACTAACTGACTCCGTGGCCGAACGGTTACCATGCCGGAGTGCCACGCAGAGGTCCTAGGTTCGATTCCCGGGCCGGGAGAAATATTTGTATGGCCTACATTTGTTTCTCTCGTGAGTTTAGGTGTAATTTGTGTTTGTCTATGTATGTGTCCATGGCACCCGCGACACAGGGTTTCCCTAGTGCGGGGCTATGTTGAGTGTGTGCGTTATTATTATTATTAAAACTATTGAATATTCATGCCTGTAGAGTGGGGCGTCGTAAGTGCGTGTGCATGAAAACGGCTGAACAGTATTGTAAAATCTTAGAATGTCGTAGTAAAATTGAGGATATGCACTGATTACTAAACGGTTTGAAAACACGATTTCTAAAAATTTTCATGATAGAAAAAAAAAACACAAACTTACATCGAAATTTTACAAGAAAACCGCTGAATTAAATAGGCACTTTATATATACCAACTTTTTTTTAATATCAACTAAACTAAATAAAACACTTATAGTAATTGATATACATTTTTGGAATGTTTTTCATTTCGATTGTAAAAAAGAAAATATTCTGAAACGAAGCCAGTTTTTCTACCGCTCGAACCAATCAAAATGAACTATATTAGTACGGGAAAATTTTGAATTCGAGCGTAGTATCGACTGTTAATGATAAAAAAGTTGTCGCTAAATTTCGTTGGTAGAATATTTAAAAGCTGAAAGCCTCTCTCCTGAAAAGTTCTCATTTTGTAGATCTAATAAAATGTATTTCCCCAAACAAATGTATACATTTACAACATTACATTTGCATGATAAATTAGAGTTCTCAGGTATGCCATATAACTATATAACTGCCTCTGTGGCCGAACGGTTATTACGCAAAGGTCCCAGGTTCGATTCCCGGGCCGGGAGAAATATTTGTATGACCTACATTTGTTTCTCTTGTCAGTTTGGGTGTAATTTGTGGTTGTCTATATGTGTGTCCATGGCACCCGCGACACAGGGTTTCCCTAGTGCGGGGCTATGTTGAGTGTGTGTGTTATTATTATTTTCGTATTTATTTTAAACTCTTATTTATTTATTATTATTATTATTATTATTATTCTTGTATAAATGTCGAGAAATAAAATCCTGACTATCCTCGCGAGGGAAGGGCTGCAACATTACTTCATGGGTAATATTCAAATTAGTTTCTTAACCTAATTTCGGTGGCAATTTACATTATTTAAGTATTCGAGTACATTATTGTCATGAAATATACGATAAAATACCAGCATACTACACTGAATATTAGATAAACCCCCTTTCTATTAAACTAGTTGTATTATTTCCGTATTTAATTTAAAATTAAAGTATTGTTCATACACACGCGCGCGCACACACTCACACACACGCGCACACACACACAGACACACACACGTACACACACACATTTTACTGCCAGAAATAAATAGGTGTAACCTAATTATGAGAAACGACACTGATTTTCGTAACACAGGTTACGTAATAATAACGCACACACACTCATAGCCCCACACTAGTAAAACCCTGTATCGCGGGTGCCATGGACACACACATAAATAACCACAAATTACACCCAAACTCAGAAAAGAAATAAATATAGGCCATACAAATATTTCTTCCGACCCGGGGATCGAACCCGGGACCTCTGCGTTGCATTCCAGCACGGCACCCGTTCGGCCTCGGAGGCATCTTATCTATATTAGTATCTAAGGTTATCTAAGGTAGTATTATCTAAATATTTTTATCCGTAAACATTTCTCTGAATTATGTTGTTCAAAAATCAAATTTGAACTGTGTTGTAGAATAAACCAACCAAACCTTTCATTATACTTCAATCGTTCATGCTATTATTCACCAATTCAGTTAGTTGTCATCTGTGCGCAAGCGATGTTGTGTCGTTCGTCATCGCGATTTTAAGTCATTAGGTACGTTTCAATCTAGGCTATATAGAATTTTCCCGACTTTTTTTTATTTTTAATGCTAAATTATTCAAATAATTAACACTACTGTAAAATTTAATCATTACCCTGTTTCGCTATGTGGATGTCAAAGAACCAACTACGGACTTTACAGTGCAATTTCCAAGTGCTTTCTGTGTAGTTACCACCTACTGCTTTTCCACAGAGAAGTATCAACAATGTACTGACAAAATTCAATGATTTATATACATTGACACTTTATATTGAGTCATTATAAGCACTACGAGAAGAAAAGTACTGACATTTTTGTGTTCGGTACTATTTAAATACTGTTCATGAACGGGTTAACCGTAATGCAGAAAGTAATAATTATTATATTTTATAATCTATGATAAATAACTTGTGGTAAAAAGTCATTGATACAAAACAAAAACTTCAGGAGAACAAATAATAACTTTTTCCTATATTAAACGCCCATAGCATCGTAAGCATTGTACTAATTAAAAAAATAAAAGCATCATATTATAATTCAAATATTTATTATTAAAGTCTTATTACAGATTTTAAAAGAAATTTTTTTTTAAAGTCTAAAAACGTATTTAATAATCCTTGGATTTAAACTTTCACGATTTTCACACATTATTGATTTTTAATTCGGGACTTCATCACTGACGACTGAATTCTGAAGTGTCCCTTCGAGACCATGGACGTTGCAATATATCCGAAACGTCGAGGTAAATAAAGGGATGATTGTCACTTGTTTTGCTAAAGATCATTAAACCATATTATATTATAAAGATACCACTTTCCACTTAACATCAGGTGGAGTGGAGTCATTTGCCTGTCAGGTATAAAAAAAAAAAAAAAAAAAAAACGCTTATAATGGCTTTCGTACCAAATCCATAACAAATTATAGACGTAACATATATTTAAAAAGTTATTAACCCTTGATTAACTCGCATGAAGAAAATCACACAACTACTCGCATGGGGTCCTCACTGACCCCAATTTGTTAGGAACATAAAAGTGGTATGAAATGCAAGAGTCAATATTACACATATACTATGATATATTACTCGTATATTAATACCTCAAAGGAACAACTCAATAAAAACTAGTGGAAACCTATAAAAAAATGGAATTAAAAATCTTTACGCTTTTGAAGTATCATGAAGTCAAAGTCAAAATAACATGTATTCTTACAACTTTTGAGTTTAACAGAAAGTGCTCTTTTAATTTGAATGAAACATGAATTTTTTTGGAAGTTGATTCTGAAATGACCCCGAAAAAAAAATAGCGGGTTTCTGTAGTTTGACGACCTCTTTACACACCGGTTTTCAAGGTGTCGCTATCTTTGAGGTCAGATTTCCATAAGTGCTTTAGTTGAATAAAGAATAAAGAATAAAGTTACTTACTTTGGGATCAGAGCAACTTATGTGATGTTATCTAATATTTATTTATCATTTATTATTCTATTCCTTTTTATAACGCATAGGAATGCATGTGTTTTTTTTTCAATATTTATTTAATTATTTATTCCACAAATAAATTTGTAGTTTAAGTAAGTAATGGGTAACTTTTGATTTAAGAAAAATTTAAATCTAATATTTGGCAGACAAAAAAATGTTGTATTGTTTAATAAAAAAAATATTACATAATGGTGGTGAGTCAGTCTTCTTTTTATCAACATTATGCTGAATATATATAAAAATAGAATTTGATAATTCTAATCAAAATTGAGATATGTTACGGTGTGGTAATCTTTGTTTTGTGTTTTAAGATGTGCCTTGGTATTGTGAATTATTGTTAAAAGTATTTATTCTGAAAAACATAATTTTTCGCGTTGTAGGGGCAACGAGAAAAATTTAATTTTTCATTGTCTGCCATGCCCAAAGGTTGATGGGAAGGGGCAGAATAAACAAAACTTAACACTTTCTTGTCAGTACTTAATGGTACCGCACTCAAAAATGTCAGTACTTTTCCTGCCGTACTATATTAATTCAATGTTTAATGTATGTAAGTCATTGAATTTTGTCAGTACGTTCATGATACTTCTTTATGGAAAAACAGTAGGCGGTAACTACACAGAAAACATTAGGAAATCGTACTATGAAGCACGTAGTTAATTTTTGTAAGAAACAGGGTACTTCGTACTATCATAATCTAATATTTAATTTTACGGAAAGGGTTAAGTAGTAAGATATGGGATTGTTGTGTTTACAGTGTTGCCAGATATTTTTGCAATATCGTAAAAACAAATTTGTTTTTTAATGATTAGTTCTTTCATGTAAGATTAAGTAATTTTTGGTATGATTAGTCTTCCAAGTAAATATTCAGGATTTTGGAATACTATTTAAAGTTTTGTCTCTAGCCCTAATTACCAATCACACAGAATTTACACATTTTTTTCTACAAATATGATGAAAATGGGAAAATTTTTAGGAATTAGGCTTAGACAGAAAAATTTAAGTTTTTTTAAATTAGAATGCGTACAGAACTGGCGAATATGCCGCGAACGTGCTGCATGTGCGCGCGCTGCACGCGTGCTGCATGCGTGCCATTAAAAATACATGTTAATATAATATGTAGCCAACGGCTCGCGAACATGATCGCACAACGTAATGCACGTATGCAGCTCACGAACCTTTCGCAAACAGCGCATTTGCGGCGCATTAGCCAGATCCGTACGTACCCTTATAAAAATGTTAGTCTACTTTTTATTTTGTTTCAAAATTTAGGGACGGTCGGTTATCGGTAAAATAATTGTCTTACCCGGGTAATAAAAAAAGACAGTGTATGTTACTGTAAAACATTTATTATATAATACTGAAATAAAAAATTCTATTTTTTTTAAGCAATTTGAAATTATTGTATCCAAATTGTAAGATGTATAATTCTATACCATTTCAGAGATTTCAATATATGGTGTCGCAATTAACTAACTAAACGAAAATGAAGATATTTATTTTGTTGAGGTAAGCATCCTTCAACTGACTGTAACTGCCTCCAAACGATTACCATGCTGGTCTGCCAGGCAGAGATACCGGGTTCAATTCCCGGGCCGGGAGAAATATTTGTACGCCTACTTTTATTTTTCTCGTGAGTTTGGGTGTAATTTGTGGTTTTCTATGTGTGTGTCCATGGCGTCCGCGATACAGGGTTTCCCTAGTTCGGAGCTATGAGTGTGTGCGTAATAAGTGCATAATAAAGATTTATTGCGCATTTATTGTGCGTAATAAATGCGTAATAAAGATTTATTACGCACACACCAGCCGTAAACATGATCTCGTGTACAAGTAAAATTTCGTATACAAGTTAATTTGCGTAAAATGCTGATATTGGCGGCGTTACAATAACAAAAAACCATTACACTGTATGACCTCAAATACTGTGCAGAATTATTTATTTAGCATTATCATATGGAAAAATATCATTCTAAAATAGCGACCTTCTTCAAAAACGTCTAATTCGACAGAAAAATTAGTAAACTAAAATTATTTCACATTCCAAATACAATTGTGTATTAAGTAAAATAGAAACTATTTTCTTATGGACCAGTAAATTCATGAAAAGCAGCGATATGTAACAGAGCCTGATGTTGGTGAACGTCGTAGATTTATTTATAGTTAGATAATGGCGAGCTTATAGCTTTTTTACAAGGTGTAATTCTGGATAAGCAGTCATGGTAACCTAATGATTCTCAGGCAGAGGGTTGTGGATTCGCATCCGGGCTTGCACCTCTAAGTTCTTAGAATGCATGTGCGATATTTAATTTCAAAAATACCATGCGCTATTCGCTGAATGAAAACATTGTGAGGAAACCTGCAAACATCTGATTTATTTATTTAATAGTTTATTGTACAGGAAAAATACAATAAGTCACAAAGAATAATTAAATTCAATTAAAAAGAAATTAAAAACAAAAGGTTCTGCTTATTTCTAATAGAAATTTCTTCCTGCAGACTTAAATACAGGACACTATATCTAAAAGAACATAATATGTGCACAACAAAACAAGAAAAAAAAATTAAAATAATATATAAATATTATATAAATACTTAGATAAATACATATTTTATAATATAATACCTAAGATATGGACGTATATATAAGATTTCAACACGTGAAACTCAATAACAAAAAAGCTATAAACTCAATAAGCTCTGCAGAAAAATGGTGATTTTCTTACAACAGGTACATAATTTGGAGATTTTTTGTGGAAAATGTCACTTAAGCAGACAATATGACTTAAAAGGTGTTTACAGACTGAACCCGCCAACTCAGCGACACCGGCTTGGTGTCGGCGACCTTATATCTAATCTAATGTAACACTTGAATTCAATGTCAATAAAAATATGAATTAAATGCAACAACAACATATTATGTACAAAATATCATTTTCCTTTTCAGTATAATCTTACAAATTAGTCAAATTGTACTAGGACAGAGAACATTTCCTAGTGATTTTATATTTGGTGCTGCCACTGCAGCGTATCAAATTGAAGGTGGCTGGAATGCTGACGGTAAGTAAATGACATTATCAGTAATATAATTTTATTAATACAAAAATCGGACACTTAAGAAAATTTCTTTCGATCTGGCTGGCGCTGGGAGTCTACACCCTTTCTCCGTCCAATACTCGATCAAAGCAAAACACAAAGTAAGCTTCATTCGCATCATGCTTTTTTCCATTTGGTCAAGTATTACAATGAGTAACACTTGACAGAAATTGTTTTGCACAGATGTCGGACGGAGGACGGGATTAGACCTCCTGGACCCCGATTCAGAACTCTTCGACATTTTAACCGAATCTTGTTCTCGAATCGAAGGTCACTTTCCGGTCAGTTATTCAGAACATTCAAGTTAAACGATATCGTTATCCAACAGCGTTTACGAAGTTAGTCGGTAAAATAGATTATTAGAAAAATGAAAATCCTTTCATATACAATTTTAGAATAGAATAGAATCATTTATTACATATTATCAATCTCATTATATTACAATTCGAAATATAATGTAAAGGGATAACATGATCGTCATTAATGTAAACAATAATAATATAAAATAAAATAAATAAAAGAAAAATACGAACTACAAAAAATTCAAAATTTTCAAAATACGAATGTCCAAAATTAAAATGTAATTGCAATTTATTTAAAAGAAATTTCTCTACACTGTAGAATTCATTATCCAATAAAAGGTCTTTCAGTCGGGAACAAAACACTTCGTCATTTATAACACTTTTTAGACTTGTGAGTAAGTGTTCGATTACTTGCGGATTTCTCGTTGCGAGTGCGGTTCGATGAGCAACGGGTTTCAGTGTTCCTATGTTACGTAATAATCGGCCTCCGCCTTTGCACCGATCGTAAATATGTATGTTTTTACACACAAAATGAATTACATCGTGAATGTACTGTGAATATGCCGTCATCACGTGGTGCTTTTGAAAAAGGCTTCTACAGGACTTATTACCCCTTAAGAGTTTAATCGCCTAAAATATAGGAATGCATTAAAGTAAATTAATAAAATTGAACAAAATCCAGACTTTATTTAAAATAATAATAGATTTCTATATTACATTCTTGTTTTGTGGATAATAGGACTTTCATTCGATAACTGTCTTCTGAATAACGTTTGTAGCCTTTGCCGGTCGAGAAGCTCTAGTAATCGTACGAGTGTGACATCATTCCGGTTCGGTTTCGAATACGACACTTTGACGTTCGATTCGGGTGTTGTGAATAAAAATTAAAAGAAATCGTACGACAAGTGAGTTATCGTAAGGTGAATCGACCCCTGATTGAAATCCAGCCGGATCGAAAGAATTTTACTTAGTGTTCGATCTCAAGCTCGGGTCAAAGATCTCAAGTTCGGGTGAAAAGTAATAATCTGGATTCGTCCCCCAATTTGCCATTTTTAAGACGTGAAATATTTTATACAACTACCAATGCTAATGACAACTACTGAGTTTCCGATAAAAAAAAGAATAATCGAAAGCGGTTCACAAATGTAATGTAATCCGTAACGTACACATAATTTTTTTTTTTTATAATTTTAAGTGACGTGACGAACAAGTCGTGCAGCTGATGGTAAACTACACGCCTATCCATAACAGTTGCAGTGCCACTCAGAGCTTTAAATCGCAAAGATCTGAGGGGCCCTGCCACTAAGTCCGTCAACATGAGACATAAGTTGATAAGTCCCATGTGCCAGTAATTTCACCAAATACATTCGAATTGAGAACCTCGTCCTTTTTTGAAGTGGGTTTAAAAAACGCAACAGTTTTTCAAAAAAGAAGCTATTTAAAATTTAATTTTTTTTGCAAAAATACGTGAAAATTTATTTATTTTAAATCATTTCCGATTTTCACGCATTATTTGATATTTAATTCGGGACTTAATCACGTACAACACATATTTCGTGATTTCGTCGATGTCGTAATGTTGTGTGTCGGTCTAGTGAGAACCCTAGTGCACAAATAAATAATGAAGATCAAGTGCGGGTAGTTAGAAAAACTCGCACGGCTAGAAGACGCTGACACTCGCCTCTTCAGTCCCTTCGAGACCATGGACCTTGCAATATGTGTTGTTTCTTAACTTCGAGGTAATTAAGATATGTTTCATACGTGATTAAGTCCCGATTTAAAATCAATTAATATTTTAAATCAATCTAGGAAACAAATTTAATTACCTTAATCAAATTACTTTTGAATTTGTTATCAATTACTTTTGATATTGTCTAATTTTAAACATAATATATTAATCTTAAAAGACTTTGTTCTTGTAACCAGAGCTATGTTAATCTTAGTTCATAAACTTAATTTAAGTTTTATATGAACAATTTGCAATATAAGCATAGAAACTCATTAAAACCTTATTTCATACCTTTGGTATAAAGCCACTTGTTTAGTTTTAATCACATGAAAATTATATTTATAATACCCAACTACATGAAACTACATGAAACACATTATGTCATCAATATCATCATCAACATCAACTACAGAGCAATATTATAATGCAATTATAAAGCAATTAAATACAGTATTTAAGTGCTTGGTTTGTGTGGCATGTGAGTCAACAGTTCGCGGAGTTCCGTAAACTTGAGCTCAGTCCCCCATGTTCGCTTTGTAAGTAATAATCGTGTCAACTATATCACGCAAAACTTCGAAAATCGTAGAAACATGCCTTATTTTGCTACTTTAGACTGCAAAAATGATGGTCGCACTGTAATAATCTATGGTGGTGTTTCGTATAATTATTGAAGTTTCGTTATTTAATTTTAATAAATTTTCATTTTTCCGTTTATAGTAATATTTTTTTATCACAAGAAATGAAAGTAAACCTGGAGAACCAAGTAACATCTCGAATTCGTCGTCGTTCAGCTACTAACCGCTAGATGGTAGCACATTGATTGAAATTTTAATATAAAATCAAAACGTCGTAACTTGCAATTATAGCTATTGGTATTGAACTTTTAAAGATATACCAATACAGTAAAGTTAAAATTTTATTAACAGTCCAAAGTTTGTTATTTATTTTTAAATTTGAAACTACGAACAATCATTATCAAAATTTCATAGTGTTTCAAATTATAAATATGAGTTTTGGCAACAGCGGTTCTGATAGTAGGTAATTTGTCCCTTCCTCTCCTTTCCATCAGCGGACCACCCGTGCCGGACTGCGTTGCCACAGATGGACGGTCAGTTCAATACCGTCCCGCACTAAAAAGTTTGGCAATTCGTTTTTATGCCGAACCATCAAATTGTGGAACCAACTCCCGGCGCATGTATTCCCTCCCCTCTATAATATCGGGTCCTTCAAACGTAGTGTGAAGAAGCATTTGGCCAGACCGGCAAAATGATAGTGACGGAGTGAAGATATTTGTGTTTTCCATCCGTTACTCTCATCTCTGGACTGTATTCGCACTTTCCATCAGGCGCGGTGCAGTCATTTTGCCGAGTCACAATAAAAAAAAAAAAAAAAAATTTTCTTCCGTGACATCAACCCATTTCAACATCAAGTGCTGGGCACGGGTCTCCTCTCACGCGACGGCTTAGACCATAGTCCACCACGTTGTCACAATGTAGGTCCCTTCACACGTTAGCAAGGGTTGTGAACATTCTTAGATCTACAGGTTTCCTTACGATGTTTTCCTTCACCGAAAAGCTCGTTGTAATTTTCAAATTGAATTTCGCACGTTCATTCCAAAAACTCAGTGGTGCGAGCCCATATTCGAACACACGGCCCCGTTCGAGAGGAGACAGTTCAAACCATTAGGCTACCACGGCCTTTTCCACACCAATTACGTACACGCGGAATTTTATAACTCTCATATTTAAACTTAAAAGTGGTTATCGACACATTTCGTTCGTAGAAATCTTTAAACCAGAAGAGTTGTCGTCGTGCAGATGTGGCCTTATTACACCAAGAATGCTATTTTGATTTACCAACTCTGACTTTGTTTCTAGTTTTGTCTCAAACTTGTAAGAAAATCAACGAATTAACCCAATTAACTTTGCAGATAAAGGCGAAAACATCTGGGACTACATGACCCACAATCGACCGACTGTTATCAAAGATCAATCCAATGGAGATATAGCGGCTGACACTTATCACAACTACCGTCGAGATGTCGAAATGATGAGAGAACTAGGGCTTGACGCTTATCGCTTTTCACTATCATGGTCCAGAATTTTACCTACCGGCAGATCAAATTACTTGAGCCAATCTGGAATCAATTTCTATAACAACTATATAAATGAGGTATGGGCCCTTAAGTTTATAATTATCTCAAGAACTTCATTTATTAATTAAATATTTCAGCCCTGCATCCAGGTTTTGCCCGCAAATATTACTATGTTGTCGACCCCTACGCCATTTGACGACTCGGATTTCTCCGGCCTGCCTTTGGCAACCACTTCACCAAGGCCTTTGCTTCATGTCAACAATTACATAAATACAACTCTTCGTTAATCACCCCACCACGATATTTTTTCTTGACAACCATACTCTTGTCGGTGTAGTCTCCTCCATTATTCACAATAATTGAACTCCTTATAGCTGCCACTTTTGCCTTCTATCTTATTTGCCCACTTAATGCTATTCTCGATCCTTCCTGTTCTCTTAAATTATAACTTATATCACATCATAATATGCTGCTCTGTTTTTCTGAGCTCTGGTCTACCTTCGATACTGGATCTCAATCAAGGCCCAATGCGAGTTGTGGACTTAGATGTATTCTAAGAATTTTCAGAACAAAATATACTGCATGTAGATGATCCCCATAATTGATCCATAATATTTTCTATGATGTGTCACAATGGCAGTCATTACTCTCAGTTTAAATTTTTTCTGTTTCATCTCTTGTTTTACTATTCCAGATGCTTAAATATAATATCACACCAATGGTGACATTGTACCACTGGGATTTACCTCAACCATTACAAGATATAGGAGGGTTCACAAATCCCCTTATCGCCGAGCTATTTGAAGACTATGCAAGAGTTGCTTATGAACAATTTGGTGATAGAGTTAAGCATTGGATCACTTTTAATGAGCCTAGGGAAATTTGTTATGAAGGCTATGGATATGATACTAAAGCACCACTAGTTAATGCTTCAGGAATAGGGGAGTATCTCTGTGCTAAGAATTTAGTTATGGCGCATGCGAAAGCGTATCATGCTTATAATAAGGATTTTAAAGATAGACAAAGAGGCGTTTGCGGTATCACGATTAGTGTTAACTGGATGGGACCTGTTACTGATTCTGTGGAGGACCATAAGGCAGCTGAATTGAGGAGACAGGGAGAAGTAAGTGCTTACAATTATTTGCTATATTTCTAACCTCTACTACTAGACTAAAACCACAGTAACAAATACTTGAACTGAATTCAGAAGTGAATTGAAAGCAACTTTGTCTGTCCTATTATGTTCATTAATAGATAAACTTTTTATGAATTTTTACTTTTTAGGTTTTTAAATGGGCTTTGTATTACCTACAACATGGAATTCGATAAAAACAATCTTGCTTTTATTAATTCGCATAAATATTTTTTTTAAATAGCTGTAGTTGGTTTTTGAATATTATAACTTACGTGAAAGTTCTAAGTGGTTAAATTTAATGGTGGGAAAACTTTTTTGTTCTTCAGTAACGGAGATGTTTAGTTTTGGCCCAAATCGTGTACCGAGGTACAACTTACGTCAAAAAATTTTTAAAATTGTATAGGAAAGGATCCATTAATTAAAATAATTTTAATTTTCAATAACAATTGCTGAAATATGTAATTCTACAATTATAATAATAAATGACACTGCACTCGACGAAACGTGCATTGTTGTGATTTGACTGCTGTCACACAAATAATAATACTTTAAAGATGCGAATCAAATGAAATATAGAACAGAAACGGAATAAAAATCTTTGTGGCGTTGACGTGTCGACGACGTCATGAAGTGGCATTTAATAATAATCTCAGTACAGAGTACTAAGAAAACCGACCTTAAAAGTACGTGGAATTACGTCTATTTGCTAAGTTTTGTTGAAGTATCCCCTAGTTCGCCACAACACAGGACTTGACACTGGAGATAATAAAAATCGGTTCTCACTACTCAAAGTATATGGAAAAAAAACGCCTTGAATTGGAGAAATAGCAAAATCAACTATTAAAATAATTGCTCCTAAATTAAAGTTAAGCGCCATTTATAATAAAAATGAATCTTCATGCGTGAACAGCCATCCTTAGAGGTGGATGATTCTCTTCAAAATGAAATGGGACCACTATGGAAGTACCCCCTTTCAAACAAAAAAAGAATCATGAAAATCAGTTCACAAATACCGGAGTTATCGCGTAACATACATACAAAAAAAAGTAAAAAAAAAAAAAGAAAAAAACATACAGTCGAATTGAGAACCTCCTCCTTTTTTGAAGTCGGTTAAAAAGGGGTTAACAATTCGGGACATAGTCTTTTATCTAACCGTATTAGATGTTTTAATAATATAACAATGAACTCTTAATATATTTATATTATCTTTCGTATTTATTTAGTTTCGAAATTATTATTTGTTTAATTTATAGAACATGTAATGACGTCAGCTAGCTGGTTATCATATCCGCGGCATACTTATATTTTTATTATTATATTACATATTTTTATATAATGTACGTGTGTCTGTAAATCCAAATAAAATTTTAGCTCTATCTATCTATCTAGTAAGTTATAGAAGAATTAGTAGGTATTTTTTACAGACTTACAAAAGGCGATTAGACCAATTTTTTTAATAATTCCGATTGTTGGATACATTTTTTTTTTTTTTTTTTTTGACGGGGGGAAGATTGTTGGATACCTACCATTTAAAGTATTTTAAAGCATAGACATTGCCATATATAAATTATTGTGTTGCCAGTCATTTATATGTTCGAACGATAAATTTGTACAAGTGTAAGTTTGAACAAGTGATTAACCAATTCTATTTAAATTTTAATTGAATTGATATTCAATTATTTTTTATGTGGAATGACTCAACTAGTTTGTTATAATTATTAATACAAAGATCGAACAAATCTTGAAAAAATTCCTTCGATCCGGCCGTATTCGAGACGACGTCTTCTAGCATACCGTGGCAGATGCTATACCAAGTAAGCCACGTACCAAACAAGCGGACCTCACGAATTTTTCTGTTTGTTATCGTGTCTTTCTATTTGATTTTTTCAACGACTTTTTAGCCGTAGTGCCATCTATGACACATTTAATTATTTCGTCACCCAGTTAGATACCTTTACAGCTACCTGCCCTTGCTAGAGATATCGGTATTAATTGTATTTAAACTCTATTTAATTTTTCATTCATGAAATGTGCGATTGCTTCGCTACATTTGCGATTTATAGGCGAGTACATTGAAGCAGTCGCGCGTTTGCAGCGCTGCTTGAAGCCAGAGTATGTGTCTGTATGGCTGCTTAAAGTAAAAGTATGTGTAAAGGTAGACGATTAGCTACTGCATCGCTTTAGCATCGCGTTTGCATCGCGTTTGCGTCGCGGTGTGTAACCGCTCTTATGTTCACATTTAAAATATTTCCATTTCTTTTGAAATAAATTACACCTTGACCGTATCTTGGTACATGGTCGGTAGGAAAGGTCTTAACGCGTCATTCGTATGTCATTCAAAGTACAAAGTACAATGTAGAGCTATACAAAGCCAAAGTGATTTTTGAGACAAACACTTACCATCGTCGGTTTCATCGTAGCTTGCAGGTTGGATCGTGATTCGAATGTTTATTTCAAATATAAAAAAAATGTTTGTCTATATTTAAGTAATATCATATTAAGTAGGACAAACAAAACATTTGACTATAAAGATAATGCGGCTAACGTCGTCTCAATTACATAATTTTCAATTGTATTCTGTGTGTGTGTAAAATGACGACTACAATACGACTTATAACTGAATAAAGATAAAGAGATAAAGATATTTATATTTGTAAGCATACATACAAAACGCGTACTCTACAGGGTTGCAACGCACCGACCACTAGAGCGGTGGCCTTATTGAATGAGTTCTTCGCCCTTGACCTGGTTGCTGATGTTGGTCGCGCAACTCATAACCGCTATTGCAAATTTTGTTAACTTATGTTATTGTAGAGCTATTTAAAATTCCAATTGTTGTTACTATTATTTTGGGTTTGTTACTTTTATTATTCTAATTATTATTACTTTATAATCAATATTCTAATCCAATATCTCAATGGGCGTGTTGGTCAAGCTGAAAGAATTTTCTTATAAATAAATCATGATAAATACAGTTTATAGAGATTAGTCTTATAGTTCAGTGTTCTGCGCCAGCAATTTTGCAAGCAGGTTTGCAATCTGTACAAAACGACTAAGATGACGCTTTTTAAATCATTATGTCAATCGTTCTACACGAGCAACAATGTGGGTCAGATATACGCGGAGGGCATACTATTATGCGCAGGCCACACCACGAACGAGGCTACGTGATCTTACCGATGTTGCTACTGCTAGACTAGTTTACCATAGTTACTTCCATAGTATAATGTTCTACGGGATTCTCATGTGGGGTAAAGCGGCAGATATGCAAACCATATTTGTGTTACAAAAACGAGCGATTCGTTCTGTGTACCGTTAGATTCTCGGGTTTCTCTCAGAGAAAAGTTTAAGGAGACTGGTATCACGACTGTGGCATCGCAGTACATTTACTCAAATATTTTGTATGCCCGTAGAAATATACATAATTTCATTAAGAAAGAAGATATTCATAATATTAACATTAGAACTAAGTCCAAACTCATGGTATCACGATTTCGTTTAACTAAGGTAAATGATTTTTTGTTATGGGGAACTGTATACGTTTTTACAATAAGATTCCGGAGAATATGTTAAGATTATCATTTCCTAAGTTTAAAACTTACATTAAAAGTAGTTTAATTGAAAAGTCATATTACAAAATGGAGGAGTATGTTTTAGATAAAGAAGTATGGAAAGACAACAAGAGTCTAAATTCCACAGAATTATGATTCAAAGTGTATTCCATAGCATTTAAGTTTATTTGAAAAGAGCAATCCCTAGCGTTTCTTGCTCGTTCTTCTCAGGGAGGTCAGCGTAGTGAACGAGCAGTAGCCTAAAAAGTAGCTTAAAAAAAAACGTTTTCAAGTGTAAAAATTTTACCTATGGAATTAATAACTATTTCACTTTGATTTTGACTTTGCTCATATAGCCGAGACATTTTCATACTTCGATTCACACCGCGAATTAAGCTCACCGAGCTAACTAAACTAACCCAACGAACCGCGTATAGTATTTACTTGGTCTGTGATGTTGCCCTTCTACCGCCCCTCACCCCCCGCCTACAAATCCATTATATTTTGTTAGTAAGTTAAGAAACAAATTATAATACTATCTTCTTTTCAAGTTTTTATTGAATGTCACGATGTTTTACTATCACGGTATTCAAATATTTTTTTGTGAAATTGCTCCAATAGTTTGTTATAATATTTTTTTGTCTGATGGTAAACTTTACGCCCGTCCAGTTGCAGCGCTACTCAGATCCTTAAATCAAAAAGTGAAGCTTTTCTAAACTTTTGACTAAAGATTTACTATTATTATTAATTGGCATACTAATATAAATTAAGAAATATGCAATGTTCGCATTCGCTAATGTCATGTATTATATTTTATAATTGAAACATTAAACATAATAAAAAGAACGCACGTCAAAATACCAAAAAACAGATATCCGGCCCCACATCCGGCTCCAAAATTTCAATGTCACATGTTGATTACAGTACCATAAAAGTAATTTGTCAGAAGCAATTGAAATAGTACTTTCTTAAATCTTGGTGAAGGTAGCATTTTCATATCATCAATACAGTCAATCATTTATGCCCGAGATATAGAAAGGCTAGTTTTTGAAAGCTAGGATGGTAAACTAAATGTTTATTTCTCCACAGTATTTTATATAGTTATATATATATACAATTTATATCTATTCTAAAGACCTTGCCAATTCAATTAGGTACATAATGTATATCTATTCTAGTTATTTCAGTTATCATTAATTAAGTTACATTAAATACTAGTTATTTTTCTAAAGTAAAACTGTGCTAAATTAATTTCTTTTTAAAAACTTTCCAGAGCCAGTCTATTTTATTGTATATTTTTGATATTACATATTTATCAGTTCTTTTTCGATAATTATTGTTAACTTTATATTTATTTAATTTAATTTCTCCAACTCTTTTTTGTGTTACACCTGTTTGTTATACACCAACAATTTATCCTCACTCTTATAATAATTTTCAATGGCTAACACTAATTTTACTTTTTTATCAACTGGCAATATTACATATTTGAAATATTTTTTTATAGTCGTCTTTATGTTTTTTCTTGGTGTTTTGATCTTGGCTTACTGTTCTGGCTTGACACATGCTAGAACGGTTGACCTGATTGATTTATCTTTGTAAGATGCAATACTGGTGTTCCATAGACATTCCTCTTCGCGGTACAATTGTAATTATAAATGATGATTACTGCTCTCATAATGCTTAGCATGTATAGCAAATTCACTTTTAATAACCTACAATAATTAAAAATATATTTTTGTTAATAGACTAGAACCCATTAAAGCAGCAGTTTGTTTTGAAAGAAAAAAATGTAATTGTGTTGCATTTCCGGTTCGGTGTTAATACAACGAAAGGTGACAAATTGCAGTTTATTATATTTAATGTGCTCAGTATTGCCATATGTGTTGAAATATTATGCAAAATTTTAAGGAAAAAATTCCAAAGAGATCACAACTAGGCGGAAGAGCTTTCCTGCCGAAGCACAGCTGGGTTTTTTCTTTACTCAATTTATTTATATAAGGAATGTAATGTAATTGTATAAGTTTATTTGATCAACTAGGAAAAGTAGTTTTTTATCGTTATTCAGAAATCATTACAAGAAAATCGAGGAATAGGTTTAGAATCTAGTTCTTATGCGCTTGAAATTATGGACATGCCAGTTTAAGGCTAGGGCATGCTTCCGTATTGCTTCGGTCATCGTCCTTTAAACTAGTTTCGGTACTCAGTTTGATTGTCTTAAAAGCACTTGATCCGCAGTCGGGACAAACAATACTGCTATTTAAAATTTGCTAACGTGTTCGGCTTACTTACTTACTCTAACGATGCACGGCTGAAATACCATTAAATAATTTCAATATTCTAAAACTTGGTTATGATTTCTTATGATATCTCAAAAAATTGTTTTGTCACTTATCCGCTTTTTAGTGAGCGGACGGCAGAATACGTTTCGCCACTGCAAACTAGCGGATTGGATACTAGCTTTGTTAGCCAGATGAAACTTCAGTGGACCCGGTAACGGAAAACGTGCACGGTCCGTGCATTTAATAATTTGATTATTCGATTCATAATTTAACGACCTCGGTCCAAGGCTTTGCTATAAGGTCGCCGGATGAGGAACTCCAGGGTCCGATTCCCGGTAGGTTCAATTTGAGAAATGACCTTTTCTAAATCAGCTTTATTTGACATGCATAACGACATAAGTAATTATAGAAAATTACATAATTCCTTCATAACACAAAGAAACAACGATAATAGAAAACAAAGAAGAAAAATAATTAAAAGAAATTAAAGTTAAAATAAATAGTAATAAAAAGCATAGCAAAAGGGTCCATGACTCTGAGGACTATTCTAATTACATAGCCCTCTCTGTTATTCTGTAGTAGCCCGTCAATTGTTTCTGGTTTGTGTTTTTTTGGGTAGTATCCCGGGGAGTGAATTCCATGCTCTGGTAACAGGTAATTCCTCATTTTGAGATCAGGCAATTGGTGTTGTCTGGCAACGTTATTATTATACGTCACGGTTTACTATAATTCCAAAGTTGTTCATAAATTTAAGTAAAAAGTAAAAAGTATTGCCACCTTACCTATTTCTGCCGTCAAACAGTAGTAATGTAAGCTTTACTGCGTTTCGGTTTTGAAAGGTGGGTGCTGGTGAAATTACAGGTACATGAGACTTGTTGACTTATGTTTAAGACCCTTTAGATCTTTCAGAGTTAAAGCTTTGAGTGGCACTGTAACTGTTATAGATATGGTGTCGCATACCACCAAGTATCATAAATAATTAAAAAAAAATATTCACATTCTAGTGGGGCATGTACGCAGAACCTATATATTCCAAAGACGGTGGATTTCCTAAAGAACTAGTAGAACGAGTCGCACAAAAGAGCAAGGAGCAAGGATTCTCTGCATCTCGACTGCCAGAATTCACTAAAGAAGAGAAGACTTTTATCAGAGGAACTTATGACTTCTTTGGTGTCAATCATTACACTGCATTACTGGTTTCTGCAAACGATTATAAAAGTAAACATCGTGTACCTTCGTTGCTGGATGATTTGGACAGTGGAGTATATGTTCCTGATGAATGGCTAAAATCGGCTTCTTCGTGGTTGACGGTCAGTCCTTTAATAATCCTTTGCATCATCTCCCACAATATCTGTTAAAATTTTCTTTCCGATACACAATTTGTACGAACCTTTAGTTCAGGGCGAAATAATATTTCTTGATTTTTGATCCATGTTTCATAATCTTAACCTACTAAATATAAAAAGCCTAAAAATTAAACCAACATTAGATGATCTCGGTGGCCCAATGGTTTGCATTGGGGGCGCTAGACTTGACTTCTCTAAATTGGTCCTGGTGTTTTGGGAAGTACCCCAGGGAGAATTCTTCTTCTCTCTCTTCTCTCATCTCTTCGGAGATTTTCCAGTTTTAAATATATTTTTAACTATGGAGAAGCTAAAGGAAATAATGAATGCAGGACGAATTATATTACCAAAATCGATTAGCTTTTTTTACTTACAGCAAAATTCATTTTTTATTCATTGTTTACAGATGGCCCCAAACAGTCTGTTCAACGCCCTTACCCATCTGAAAAACAAATATGGGAATCTAATCTTTTATGTTACCGAAAATGGCTGGTCCACTGCACCAGAAGTCGGCATTAACGATGATGATAGAGTAAAATACTACAGAGCAACACTAGAAAGTGCATTAGATGCCATCGATGCTGGTGTTAACCTAAAAGGATACATGGCCTGGAGTTTGATGGACAATTTTGAATGGATGGAGGGGTACACGTGAGTATTCCATTATTATTTTAATAAATTTAACTAAATACTATTCCTATTAGCTACCTAGTAGTCAGGAAATGATAGATTTGAGAATAATGGCTAGAGTCACTCTGATGGATAAATTACGAAACATGGAAGAAGATGTATTGACAAAGATAGAGAAAGGGATACGGTTTAGACATGTAGAAGGAATTAATGAAGTACCTAACGATTGATGAAACAGATTTATAAGGCGAATGTGAGCGGGAAGTTGGTAAAATATATATTACCATGACCAAATTGACGACATCCTAAAGAAAGGCCAAGTCAAGAGTACCCTTAACCGACGAGCATATAAGGAAAGCACTGATGCGTATTGATAAGGCGAAAGGTACGTCAGAAAGGTGTGTCAGGACCGTAGCAAGTGTAAGGCTGTTGTCTCTGCTTATCCCGATGGGAAAAAGGTATGAAGTAAAAGTGAAAGGAAGAAGTAGCAGTAGAGCTCCTTGTGAAAGAATTCGTCCAAGGAAGTATTGTCACTTTACCTATTTCTGCCTAATGTAAGTATAACTGCGTTCCGGATTTGAAGAGTTAAGGGTGCTAGTGAAATTACAGGCACTTGGGACTTGTGAATTTATGTCTCAGGATGACGGACGCAGTAGCATTGTCCCTATCTTTGCGATTTAAAGCTTTAAGTGGCACTACAATTGCTATGGACAGGCGTGACGTTTATTACTAAGCGCACGACTTTTTGGTCTCGTCACTTGGTATGATAAAAAAAAAGACAAATAGAGAGAAACAGACTAAAGGTAAACTTTCACTAACAGCACCTGAATGTACCACCACATGTCGTGATGTTTTTTTTTTATATCACACAGATTATGTTTCCCTATAAGCCAATCGTAAAGCAACTACTGGATAAATATAGAACACGGACCATAGTATTCTGCTGTAAATTTAACATAAACAAGTAAAGAACAAATAATACACATACTTTCATAGTGTACTTTTGTTTAATCATAGCATATCATTTATTGCTTTATGTGGTACAAAAGGTCTTAAAGCTGTTCTTACATTCCATCATAAACCCTGTAAGGGCACTGCAATTAACTTACTTCACTATACTAATATTAATACTAATAGGTACACATAGATTCATGTCAACTTACTATACTATACACATAATATCATGTACTTTACCATCGAAATACTCCTTTAGGTCATAGAAATAGTTAGCAAGTAACTTTTCAGAGCATTTGCGAACACCTAATTATTTTCAATATTTTAAGTTTCAGTATTCTAAGAGGTATTTTGTTATAAACTTTCATTGCCATATTGTGTGTACCCGAGCTAACAATTTCTAAATTATAATTCCTTATTTATAGAGAACGTTTTGGCCTGTATCAAGTGGACTTCGAAGATCCTAACCGTACCAGGACTCCTCGCAAATCGGCTTTCGCCTACAAGCGGATTATTAAGATGCGAAGTGTTGATTATAACAATGACTATGATTTTTCGGCCATGACTATTGACGAAGGACATTAAATTTTAGTCAAAAATGTTTTCTTTTGATAGTTTAATAAATATACACTGTTAATATTTATAGATAATATAATCGCTGTAGTTCCGGGCTTTATAAGTGTTTTATTTTTTTTATCTGCGTCAACATGCAGACCAGGGTCCGAAGTTTGCTAATCTTCTTAAAACCATATGTCATTCAATTCCATTTAGACACCACTAAGATTATATTTCAATGATGATATTTGTTGTTCTGTTCTCTAGTTGCTGTAGTTGATTTTCAAAAGAGTGTCTCTGGAATGGCTGTGTTGGCATTCATTCATTCATCGCTAATGGTCGGTGTTGCCTTATCAAAACAACCATGGAAATTGCTATGCATATCTTAATTTTTTTCGTTTGATCAGCAATTTCGTCTTCAAATTACAAGTATTAAAAAAAGCTCGATATAATGGATACAAGCATTTCAATTGTAAGTAACAACGAAGCCATCGACGTGCCATCAACTCACCATAACTGCCTCTGTGGCCAAACGGTTACCTTGCTGGGCCGCCACGAAAAAGGTCCCAGGTTCGATTCCCGGGCCGATTTGCATGGCCTACATTTATTTCTCTCCTGGGTTTGGGTGTAATTTGTGGTTGTCTATGTGTGTGTCCATGGCACCTACGGACACAGGGTTTCCCTCACAGACCACATAAATACTAGTGCGGGGACATATCCCCACACTCATAAGTGTGTAACAAAAAATTGCAATGGCGGTGAATAATAGCTAAATGGCTAGCCACTGACTGACAAGCCCACTATTTTTGGTAGTTCAAATTTGTAAATTCTTATCTTATCGATGGTATGCAGTATAATACTTGCTATCATGGTGAAAGGATTTTCAATCAGCGTAATGTACTCGCCGATTGTAGTCGAAGGTGCATCACCTTACATGCAATCCAAACGTACAGAAATATTAAAATATTACTCTACCCAAAAGTTTTCGCTACTTTTACATTTTTTTTTTGGTTATGGACGAGCAGCTTTCGCTGGTATATCTACATCACACAGTGTTGAAATGTATATCATTTGTTTAAGTTAATTTTTTAGCACTAATTCACTCTTTCGTAAGCAGTTGTCGAACTTGTTTTTGAAGGCATTAACAGAGACAGCAGAAACAACATCTTCCGGTAGCATGTTCCAATTATGCACCACTCTGTTGCTGAAAAAAATGTGTGCAGCAGATGTTTTGGAAGGTACACGAACTAGTTTGAGACGGTGGCGACGTGACGGTTTTAAGTGTTCTTTTCTTTTGAAAGTGTTTTGTGTGTCTGGTAGATTGTTCTGACATATCAGAATTTTATAAGTCTTGATGAGTAGCGATGAAAGACACTCGAAAAACCTCGACTCATTTTTAACGCCTCACGACTAGTCCAGTCTTATACCCCTCAAGTCTTGAGTCATAAGACTAAAACTCAAGACTAATTCGAGTCAAAGTCTTTTAACCCTAGGAAGCTTAAAAGACTTTTAAGGACTAAAACGACTAAAACGACTGGCGCCTTATAGGCGTAAAAACTCGAACCTACGGTCTTAATTTTAGAGTCGAGTCCTGAAAGTCTTTATGAAACGCCTTAAAAGACTGAGTCTCTTTCATGATGATTTCATAATTGATGAGGTCACAACGAAGGCATCTTTCTTCCAGAGTATTGAGACGTAATACGCGTAGTATCTCCTCATAGGATTTGGGCCTGTGGCATTTTAGTTGCCTTCCTCGTCGTTTTCAAGAAGGTTTATTTCTTGGAAATAAGGGCTCCAGATTTGATATTCATATTCCAGAAGTGGCCGTAGGTATATAGGTCTTATAGATTTTGAGGAAAACGTCTACTGTCAATGTTTGGAACGATATGCATATGACATAGATACCGGAGTTACCTTTCTTGACTATTTTAGTCCGTATGCTCATCCCACTTTAAATTGAGTGACCAATGATCTGCAAAAAAAGATGTTCTTGGTTTTATTGGGTTGAAAACACTTACACCTGACCTTATTAGTAGCATTAGAACTCCTTGTGAAAGAGCTCGCCCAGGTAAGTACTGCCACTATACCTATTTCTGTCGCGAAACAGTAATATGAGCATTACTTGATTTTGAAGGGTTCATTCATTTCATTCATTCATTTATTTATTTGCATTTCACATGGATGATAACCTTATACATGTGATACCCTGTAAGGGTGTAGCAAAGTTACAATGGAATTTAGCATGCTTGAACGTAGTTAATTAGTAATTAATTAATTATATTATAGATTCTATAATTATTAATAAACATAATTATTACATAATATTTTTATCTTAAAATTAATTAAATTATTATTTTTATAATTATTAAACATTTTTATTACTATAAAAAGGTGCTAGTGAAATTATAGGCACATGGAACTTTTTAACTTGAGTCTTCGGGTGACAGGCACAGTGACAGTGCTCCTCAGATCTATGCGATCGACAGGCGTGGTGGAATAATTAAATTTAAAAAAAACAAATGTTACATAGTTTTTTTTTATATATTCTTTATTTATTTAGGGGCTTTCATCGTTATTGAACATGTCAGCCCCATTAGAAAACAATACCGCAATAAAACATTTAACAAAATCCAGACAAATACGTCAAAATACTACCTAACCAAAAACATGTATACAAAATCTTCGCGGCATTAAATGTTGGCTCCGACAAAACAGATTGAAACATTAAATGCACGGAAAACAGCCTGTGCAAATCACCGCGCCCTGAGAGGTTCCGTCCGTACATACTCCATGAGCAAATGATGTACATCCTCAGGAATCCCACACACTTCGCATTTCGGTGAGTTTACCCTCAGCATCAGAAACAAAAATTTTTTTAAAGGAACGTGTCCGGATCGTAGCCTATGCGCGCGGACAATGTCACCCCTGCTTAATTTAACATTGTCAAACCAAGGAAAACATATTATATATAGTAAATAGTTACTTAATGAACTAATAAATATTAACTTAAGTATTTTAAATTTATATTGAATTGATATTCAAATATTGTTTGTGAAATTACTCCACTAGTTTGTTATAATTATTAATACAAAGATCGAACACTCAGAAAAAATTCCTTCGAACCGACGTCTTCTAGCATAACGTGCTAGACGAATGAGAAACCGTTATTAACTTAAGTAACAAACACCGGTAACCACAGTTTACGTGTAAACAGTCTTCGAAGCTCACTAAATATACAGCACTCCTAATTCAGTGGTGACGCTACCTACCATTAATGCCAACACACTACAAAACGTATAGACATTCTGCCCATTGAATAGACGCGACAAAATCAATTGGTGAAAGCACTCACAAGAATGAATAAACTTTGTCTGAGACGCTATTCCAGGTCAATTCACCATTGTAACATCCTGTACACCTTCACATAAATATATAAGTTTATATAACTAAATAGGCCAGGTGTTCTAATCCGGGTTCGCCTCTGTATTTCGGTAGTTATATGCGAAATTTAATTTTAAACTTACCATGAGTATACAGTATATAAACATTCGCCTGAGAGGAGACCCATGCCCGGCAGTGGGACGTAGAAATGAGTTGATGATTATTTTTTCTACTCCTGTACAATCTGTCAATTGTAACTTCATTAACCATTATCATAAAGGTGGTCTTTTTAGTGCTGATTCAAAATTCTATTGTACTCGCCACTGAGCTGAAAATTTTCATTAGAGTTCTGTACACAGAACTATAATGAATATTGTATTAAGTACTGTACACAGAACTTTAATGAGTTCCAAAAAGGGAACGTCGTGTTTTTGCTAATTAAAATATCAATTAGGACGCTACTCGAACGCTGTACTGCCTCCTGAATTCCTGATTGCTTAAATTTGACCTAAAACTCTTATAACCGGGCTATAAACCTTTATTAAAAAAATATTGGTTAAAATTTAAACAGTACTTGGCCAATTCTATTCAATCTCTTTAGTTTTTTGTTTTGTAGCGTTTGTTTGGCTTCCGGCTTCCGTCTTAATATACGAAGAGGCTGTATGGTTGAACCTTTGCCTACACAAATAAATGGGTGAAAATTTATTTAAAAAAAAGTGTACGTTGTCATGGATTGAACAAAATATACATTAAACATTGGTTGTATTTCATTATTTTATTTACTCCTACAAAAAGTATTGCACGCAATCATTACATAATTAGGTCTTAAAATATTATTTAGAACTTAAACACGGTACTCGACATTAAGAACCCAATAAGCAACGATTGCATAAAATACTATTAATGTATTTGTTAAACTTTCATGTCAAACTGCTGTTGCTCTATCTGTAATCTGTCTTTTTAGAAGACGGAGGAAAATGACAGTTCATTGCGTAAAAGTGTTGCCCGCTTGCGAGCAGCTAGTGATTCGATAAATATTCTATCGACTGAATATTGATCACGCTTATGGAATAAATTGTTTCATTTGAAATATCCTCGACCTATTATTCATCCAAATATTGAGTACAAGTTCATTTATATTGTCATTTTTTTGTTCAAGTTCATACATACATACATACATATTTAGAACTATTTTTATGAAAATTTCAAAGAGAAGACGTATTTTGAAGCTTTTAATTTCAATTCAATATAGACAATCAAATCCGGCTATTCTTGTTAAAATGTACATGAATAAAAATGGATCTCGATACTCATAAACCAACTATCAAATTAAGAATAAAGAATGCAATAACGCAATTAGTAATCATTACAACGCCGTAACATTTACAATTCAGCCATTTTTGGTAAAATTTTATCTTCTTTCACAATCTATCGATAAAACTATCGACAACAACTATATAACTATTTAAAATTTTATGAAAATTGGCACCTGGCAACTACAAATCTTATTTTACTCCGTCTTCAAAAAAGACAGACTATATTTAGCACTTCTTTCAGGAAAAATGTATGCTTGGACAATAAAAATTATTATTTTTTAATAAAGTTTCAGAAAAACAGTTTTCAAAAAAATGCAGATTAGTGCATTG